TCGGCGTAGCAACTTTCATGATTTTGGTATGTCTTCTTTAATTTTTGTAGTTTCTTAAACTATACACCGTGCCCTTTGGAGAAGCTAACCAAGTGGTCTATAATTGGATTGGAATCTCACTCTCTGTTGGACATGTGAAAGAACATTGCTGCAGTTTATCTAAAGAAAAAAAGAAAAAAAGAAAAAAGAACATGATTGCTGCAGTGAAAGTTAAATAAGAAGCTGGATCATAAAGACCTTCTGTGAGGATCACAGTACCTTGGTAGTTGGTAGTATTTTCCCAATGCTAGTTGGCTACAAAAAAGATGAAATTAAGCAAGTGCAATAAAGTATTGCATTCAAATAGTAGATAAATCTCACATTGATTTTGGAGGTCAAATGTATTTGGTTTGAACTAGAAAATGTGTAATTACCATTAAAAATTACACTTCCAAAATACTCATTGGTAAGGAGTCCCTGAAAAGTAAAATCATTGGTGTTATTTCAAATGTATATTTGATTTATACATATTTTTCGCAGGAAAAACAAGCTCATTATTTGCCTAAAATCAGAGAGAAAGTCAGAACGCCAGAAGGAGTCCCACGCCTTTTTGATTTGGTGAAAGTTCGAGATGAGAGGATGAAACTAGCATTTTTTGCTGCATTAGGAAATACAGTTGTTGCAGAAGATATTGATCAGGTGATGTTTACATAATTCTTTTAATTCTTCCCTGATGAAATACAACTGTTTTGACTATTTGGCTTGTCATACCATTTTTTGACTTGCTTGGTAAAATTATCTCTAGTCAACATTTTGACTGATTAGCAAATGCAGTGATTATTTTCTGTCGCCCAAATAAAAGATTGAGAAATTTAACACTTGGACCTCTTGAAATGTGATTTTAGCTAGGGCTCTCCAGTTATCTATTTTAGGACATACAATAACATGGAGATTTCAAATACTATTTTTGTAAGGTTTGCTGATCGCCATAATTGTACGTCAAGACTCAGACAACATGCATTATATGTATTTTCATTATTAGGCAGAATTGCTAGATCAATAATTTGCGATACTGTTAATTATGCAGGCATCACGTATTGCCTACGGTGGGGACAGAGAGTTTCGCCGTGTTGTAACACTTGAAGGTGCTCTTTTTGAAAAATCTGGAACAATGAGTGGTGGAGGGGGTAAACCTCGTGGTGGTAAAATGGGCACATCTATCCGTGCTGCTAGCGTTTCACCAGAGGCTATATCTGCTGCTGAAAATGAACTTTCACAGATCGCCGGAAACTTGGATAATGTACGCCAAAGAATTACTGATGCTGTGAAGTGTTACCAGGCCTCAGAGAAGGCTCTTTCTCTTGGCGAGATGGAATTAGCCAAATGCAAAAAAGAGGTCTGACATTCATGTTTTATTGATGTTATTTGCAATTCTTTTCTATGACTATTTTTAATCTCTTTTAACGCTTGTCTTGCACCATGAGAGCTAAATGCTTTTTTGGTTTCTGTACAGATTGATAGCCTGAAGTCCCAATGCGATGATCTAAAAAAGCAACTGGATTCCTTGAGAAGTGCATCAGAACCCAGTAAGGATGAAGTTAATAGATTGAAGGAACTCAAGAAAATCATTTCGGCTGAAGAAAAAGAAATGGACAGGCTTACACAGGGTTCAAAACAGCTGAAAGAGAAGGTGATCACATGTCTAGCAGTTTATCCTTTTCTTAAGACCATTTTATTATTAAGTTCAAGAGAAGCTAGCTCCAAAGGCTGTTTCAAAATCCAGTGTTTTATGTCTTCAGGCTTCAGAACTTCAAAATAAAATAGAGAATGCAGGTGGCGAGCAATTGAAAAATCAGAAGGCAAAGGTTACTAAAATACAATCTGTAAGTGGAAAACTGACGCTTGTGCATGCTAAGTTTATGTGCTTTACTGTTAACACACTTTTTTTGCTCCACCGTAGGATATTGATAAAAAGAGCACAGAGATCAACCGTCGTAAGGTTCAGATTGAAACAGGACAGAAAATGATTAAAAAACTGACAAAGGGGATTGAGGAATCAAACAAAGAGAAGGAAAATCTTCTTGCTGAGAAGGAGAAGTTACTTTCCATCTTCAAAGAGGTCGAACAGAAAGCTTTTACTGTTCAAGAGGACTATAAAAAGATACAGGAGGTTTGTACCATTATTTCATGTTAAGATGTGCATCATATGATTGTGCAAGTTGCTTCAATTGTTTCGGCAAATTTCTTTTTTTTTTTCTAATGTTTTTGTGTTAATGATTTTTTAGCTCATTGATCAGCACAAAGGTATTCTGATTGATGCTAAAAATGAATATGAAAATTTGAAGAAGACTATGGATGAGATGCGGTCATCAGAGGTTCTATGGCACTCATTTGACATTTTTTCTTCCTTCCATTTATATATGTAATCTAATGCAAGTGGAGCTGCAGGTAGATGCTGAATACAAGTTACAAGATATGAAGAAGGTTTATAAAGATTTGGAACTCAAAGGGAAAGGATACAAGAAAAAACTCGATGATTTGCATACTGCTTTGTCGAAGCATATTGAGCAGTAAGTCCTGGAGATTTCTTTCTGAGGCAAAACACATCATCACATTGTCAGCTTCCAATCTCTTTCTGATACACACAGACCCCCTCATCTGTTATCTTTCTTTTTGTTTGTAATAATTGTCTTGCATTTCTTTATCTGTGTATAGAATTCAAAAAGACTTGGTGGACCCGGAAAAGCTTCAGGCAACTCTAAGTGATGTTACTCTTGGTCAAACTTGTGATCTTAAGACAGCTCTTGAGACAGTTTCACTTCTAGAGTCTCAACTCAAAGAGATGAACCCAAATCTTGACTCGATTTCTGAGTAAGCTCTTGTACTCATTTATAGAGAAGCTTGTAGCATGACTATGTTTCTTGATATTAATTGCTAATAGTCTCTACTGTCACTAGGTATCGGAAAAAAGTATCTGTGTACAATGAAAGAGTTCAAGAGCTTAATTCTGTTACTTTAGAGCGTGATGATATTAAAAAACAATATGATGAGTGGAGAAAGAGAAGGTAAGTTTCGTCCATCCTACAACCTAGATTTCTCTCTTCCATATGCCAGCTCACAACATCTCTGTAGGTTGGATGAGTTCATGGAGGGCTTTAATACCATATCTTTGAAACTTAAAGAAATGTATCAGGTATTCAGCTCATTTTTTGACTTGTTTTTTATATGAAAGCTTTCCCCATATAATACTAGAGTTGAATTTCATCTGGATCAGTGATTATGCCATTTATAATTTTAGGTGTAGAGGAGTGAAGTGTGCTTTAGCAAAGATAGTAGGGTATATATTTTGTTTTCTTTTTTTTGTCTCCCACTGAGTTCTGAACTTGAGATCTTAGGGCTCAACCACTTTATGGACCACTAGGCCACACCCTTGGGTGTGATTGTTTCCTGTTCTTAATCCTGTAGTTGCATGTATCAGGTATTCAGCTCCTTTTTGACTTGTTTTCTTATATTAAAGTTTTTCCCATCTAGTACTCGAGTTTAATTTCTTCTGGGTAAGTGATTATGTCACTTTATATTGTACATCATCCTGATTGTTTTCCTTTTATTAATCCTGTAGTCGGGCATCTTCTTCTTATTTCTTGTCATGTCTGATTTGGTTTTTTGCTCATATTTCTGGTGCATGGACTGCTTTGTTTAAAAATTGGGATTATGTTGTGTGCCAAAAAAGATATTTTCACTTCAAATTTCTTTCCATGTTATGAAAAAGCAAATATGTTGATGGTTATCCTTCTGGGTTTTGGGGACTCTTTTAGTTCATGATATACAACCGGTTAACCATTTATAAGTAAAAGAACGTTTTAAATAAAATAGCAAATTGTTATTAAAAAAATAAAAAAGCAAATTGTAAAGTTATTACCTGCATGAAATATACCCCTTTATTAATAGTGTATTACTTCTTTTGGTAATCTCCCAGATGATCACCCTTGGAGGCGACGCAGAACTGGAATTGGTGGATTCTCTTGATCCGTTTTCTGAAGGTGTTGTTTTCAGTGTTAGACCTCCAAAGAAGAGCTGGAAGAATATTGCTAACTTATCAGGTGGTGAAAAGGTGAGTGTCAAGAGTGGCTATATGTTTGTATGTTACTGAAAACATTATATCAAAGCAATCCGGTCTCTAATAGCAATGTTAATTTCAGACCCTCAGCTCATTGGCTCTTGTTTTTGCACTCCACCACTATAAACCCACTCCACTTTATGTGATGGATGAGATTGATGCTGCTTTAGGTATGTTCTTTTTCTGCTTATTACATTTGGCTAACAAAGATCAAGCTCCCAATATTTCATGCTTTCTTTGTGGTTTCCTTGTATGTCACAGATTTTAAGAATGTCTCGATCGTTGGGCATTATGTGAAGGACAGAACTAAAGATGCACAGTTCATAATCATAAGGTACTGCATTGGCGTATGTCCGATTCAAAGAAACAAGCACTAAGAAGCTATAGTTATCTAATTTTTGTTTTAATGATATGCAGCCTTAGAAACAATATGTTTGAGCTAGCAGATCGGCTAGTTGGTATCTACAAAACAGATAACTGCACCAAGAGCATTACTATCAATCCTGGAAGCTTTGTAGTTTCTCAAAAAGCTGCTTGAGGCTGTTCCAGAATTTCTGATCACTTTCTTTTATCTTCCCTGTGCTGACAAGAATCTGGTTGATTAACACCTTAAGCTAACATGGTGAGTTCTGTATTTTGTTGGAAGTCATTGTAATATGTATAGTTCATCTAATGAGTTACGGAATACTTACAGATATGATAAATGAAAGTTTGTGTTTGTAGTTAATGGCTACTTTCTATTAGAATATATTTTTAAACACATTGGGGACAGTCAAAATTTTGATGTTGCACAACACTAATGGGAGTATTTCTGAGTGTCACGATTTCAATTTTACTTGAAGATTATAGGCACTTATACGAAACTTGGATTTGAGTTGGTGGTTGTGAGAGTACGCTTTACTGTAGTTCCGGTGATCCCACTCTTAGTAACTGGTTCAGATACAACTGACAGGATTAGAACGGTATTTGTAAACGTATTTAAATAATTTAAGTTCTACAATATAGTAATAACTGTTGTTGAAGACTATGGACAGTGGTTTGCGTGTTCCAACACACTTCATATCAATTAATTTTCAGTTGATGTCGCTGCCATGGTAACAACAGTCAGAACAGTAATAATTATTTTAGAATATTTGTCGAAAAAGATATTATATATGTGACTTGTAACTTTCTTATTCAGTTTTGAGGTAAGAGCAGACAAACCTCCATGTCTAGGCTCCACATGTTTTCTCATATAAGTTAGTGCCTAGTGGGACGTATGCTTAGATTTACCTCCATAAAAAAAAATGGAGCGGACTCGTGTAAATCGCCTTGCGCCTGACGGAAACGGCCCCAACCTTAACTGATTGCCTCTTCAAAAGTCAATTCTCATTTCTATCTTATTATGTTGACATTTATTAAAGTTTTCAGTGTACCTAATCTTATCATAGAGAACTTTCCTAGCAGTTTTCATTATGATTCTTTCAACCTTCCTGTCAATAACCAAGATTCTAGCAAAAGGATTTATAATTCAATTAATAACACCTTTCGTATGTGGAGCTTCTTAATAAGATCAACGAGTCACTTCTTAGTGGAGGGACATGCTGCATGCAGCCTTTTTTTATGATTTCAACAAAAACAATCGCAAAAGTTCAATGAATCCTTAATTTCAATAAGACAGAGATTATTCAGGCTAAGATTTGGAAATCTCAGATGTGCATTTGCTTCTCGGCGTGACATGATTCAAACAGTAGCGTCATGACTCATGGTTGTATTATAATATTGACCAAGTAAAATTTCTTAATTTGTAAATACTATAAACTTATGGTTTGTAATAATGCACAGTTTAAGTATGCTCACCAACTGCGTTATGAGCCACGTTTTGTCCTCCTGCTGAGAAAGTTGAAAACCCCTCAACTAAAAACTATCAATATAATGACCAACTAACAACTATTGTACGTATATCTAGTCAACGGAAGCAAGCTCCTTCAATTGGATAACTTCCCTGCACCCATTTCCAGCCCCAAATTAAGAAAATAATTAAGTAGAAAATCATATATCCGTCCCAATTTATGTGATTTGAGAAAAAGTTTAGTAAAAGAAAAATTAAACTTTTGAAACCCATAATCTAAAACAAGTCATAGATAATTATTATTAAATATAAAAAAATGTTACGGTATTTTTTTTTAGACGGACTAAAAAGGAAGCTGGGTAATATAAATTAGCACAGAGGCAGTACTCTCAAACCAATCTTGCTCCTTCGTTAACAAAAAACTTCAAAGTTTCTGCTTGTCTTTGGATCCCTGAAATGACACCGTTATCTACCTGTTGGCTTTTGATTGAACTATACGTGATCCCACATGGATATTTGAAGTGGTATTTTTTGAGTTTCTATATCCACCCTTTTCTTCTTCCTCTCTGCCAACTTTATCGTTGGATCAAAGTGTTACAAAAATTTCTATTAACCTTCATCCTTTTTGTTTATAAGTCCTCTTGTTTCTTAATTTCATATCTTACAAAATTGTGCAAATTCTGCCTTCTCCTCTTCAAGAAGTGTACCTTCATCTTACGAAATAGAAAAAATCATCATAACCCTATTGAAGAAGCTTATGAGTACTATGATGCCATACCAAATACTGAAAACCAAAATGAAATCATCCTTTATACGAGCTTGAACATGAGACGAAGTTCGAGTGAATCATACGAAACCATCCATCATTTTAACATGAAAAATAAATCGTATGATGACATAATCTACGTATATGATTTTCAAACTAGAGTCTCTCAAATGTTCGATAATAATCACAAGATTAGTTCGTTTGTTGAACCTAATCAAGGTGAGTTTATGGAACTTGATGAAGAACATGAAAAAGAATATCCTAGTGAAGTAGTAACCGACTGTTGTTCAGTCATTTCTTCTGTCGATGATAAGACGAATTTATTTGATAACTATAATACTGTCCCTTTATCTCCTGGTTCAGTTTTATCTGAAACAGAGATGGAACTTGAGTTTTCCCTATCGAGTTCTGTTTCCGGTTTTTCACCAGGTATTGATGGTCGCGGGTTTGACGAATATTTTCCATCTCCTAATAGTTCTAATTTGTCGTCCCCTTTGGATTATGGCACGATGAACCAAAATTTTCCGTCACTTGATAGCTATACAAATGATATGGAAATGGATCAACAGCTGGTTCATGAGTATACAAATTGTGCAGAGGAAGAAGTAGATTTGTTATACAAGAAGTATGCTGAAAGAATGAGCTGGTTTGATGTTCTCAATCATGAAAGGCTATGTGCCTTAAGTGAGTTTCTCCTTTTGCCCAAGTACTTTTTCTTATGCTATAACCTGTTGTTTTGGCTAACTTTTGCACAACTCGACTATTTGACAGATATAGATTAACACTATATATTGGGAAGTTGGAAGGAAATGACCTAGCCTTTTTTTTTCCGCTATGGGATACTGAATCCTGGTCTGTCATATGCATGACTTTTTCAGAGTTAATTATAGACCAGTAGGCCACATCTGGGGACTAGATACAAATTTTTTTTTCATATAAATATGAGTTTTCTTGATATTATAGTATGCTTAAGTAATCCTTCACAATTTTATTAATTGTTGGTTATATATTAATTAGATGCAGTATTGAGGAAGCACTTGTCAAGTCCAAATTCATTTGAGTATGAAATGGAGCCTACAGTTGGTTTGCCTGTCCAATATAGTTCATTGAACAAAATGGATAGAAAAAGACTTGTGAGGAACTTAGAGAGTGATTTGGAGTTGGTTTATGTGGCACAATCATGTTTATCATGGGAAGCACTTCATCATCAGTATAAAAAAGTAAAGGCTCTTTGTGGTTCAACTTCAAAAAATGGGGTCTTTTATGGTAATGTAGCAGCAAGATTTCAGAAATTCCAAGTATTGCTAGAAAGATTTGTGGAAGATGATAGCTGTGGAGGCAAAAGGCATTTGAATTATGTTCATACAAGATTTTCCCAAAAGAATCTCCTCCAAGTTCCAGAGATTTCTGGTAATCTTTTGTCTCTTAAACATTTTTTTTGAAAAGTTCAACTTCTATAGATTAACCGCGTAAAAGAATTGTTACATTTCCAACAACATATATAGTAAAATTGCTATTGTCTGAAAAAGATTGTTTCTCTAAACCCCCGGCTCATGACGTAACACATAATTGTTACATTTTCAAGTCACCTAAACTAAATATCAATTTCAAGCTCTCATTCATAAGTAAAAAAAATTAGTAACTTTAAAAATGATAAATTACCTGCTAAATATATTAAGTGTTGTTGTATACTTTCAATATTTATAAATTAGGGGTTGAGCTGAAAGATCCAACCTTTCAGTTTGTATTTAATAATCAACTAGATGTATATATAAGTAACTAAATCCAAAATCTAGTTACTAATTCTTGATGTCGCTATTCTTAAATTTAATATAGACCCTCTAATTTTGACTTGCATGGCAAGTTGATATTCATTAGTACGTCGCTTATCTAGTTCTTACGTGTAACGACTAGATCTCCATTTCTTGTAGGAGTATTAATTAACACATTGATAAAGAACTTCTTTCATTAACAAAAATAATTACTACTTATATGTAAAAACAATTTGAGCTTATACGAATTAAATAGTATTTTATTTTGGGGACATGCAATTTCGGTAATTACAAAAATTAGTATTAAGAAGATCTCAGTCGCCATTGGTTTATTCTGCTGCTAAAAGGGGAGAAATTAAAACTAATCACACTCCCCCACCTAATACTACCTAAATTGTTTATTTCGTACGTTGCCTTCCTATATACCCAAGAAATTACTACTTAATTATCGTCAAGTATTTTATAAGAGCTCTCTTATTCTAACATCTTAAGATTACTAGTCCTACACGTTACTAATGAAAAATATTATTAGTGTTAGAAAAAAGATAAAAGAAAAGAATTCTTTTAAGGATATTTAAGACCATATGCAATAATATTTTTACGTAATATATACATTTTATTCAAAACTGAACAAGTTATATGTCGATTTTGAAATTCAGAATTCATAAATTTAAAATTTTGTAGGATACGTAGAATCAAATGAAAGAGTGGATGGAGAAATAATGAAGCCAATAGAAGTGCTAAAGGCCATTGAGAAATGCATATATGCTTTTTGGTTTTATGTAAGAAGAGATTGCAAGAAAAAGAAGAATTTTTTGTGGAGTCAATCTCGTGTTGAAGACCCCAGAGACATACTGTTCCTGCCTGACTTGACTAGGAAACTTCAAATGGTACGCCTCTCTCTTTCTATAATATTTTTAATAACATAAGTCATTTTCTGATGTAATTGGTTTTTAAACATTTTGTAACTGAAGATGATTTTTTGTTGTTGTTGTTGGTTACGGTGAAGAAAGAGTTATGGATGAAGGATGTGAAAGGTAAGAGAAAATGTTGGCTTAGAAGAGCAAAAAAGGGTGAACAAGAAGAGTTGAACAAAATAGAGTTAGTGTTGACATTGATAGAGATGAAGCTGGTATCAAGGATTCTCCATATGTCCATTATTTCTACATCTCATTTCAAATGGTGCCAACAAAAGCTAGATAATATAGAGTTCAAAAATGGTCACATTTTAAGGAGCCCAACTATCCTACCGCTGTTTCCATCTTGATTAGATCACATCAAATTTTCTTTTTATTTAGAAAATTAGATTGTATATAGTTAAGCATACTTGTTCTTCTTCTACAAAGAGTGCACGCATGTCATGTAAATCTATTACAATTAGCTTCTTCTTTTGGGATAGCCATATCAATGACAAAAATAAATTTTAGTAATAATTAATGTGCACCTTAAATAAAAAACTGCTATTGAAATTAGTAAATAGACTTTTTATTATTGTTATAGGCTTTACAAATATTTACATAAAAGAGCTAATTGTTATTAAAAAAAGGAAAAATTTCATATATGACAAACTGAATTTATGAAATAACATTATGGGTATTGTTTATATAATTACATTTTATGGTGTTTAATTCGTTATGTAGTTTTTTATTTTGTATAAAACGTTTTTTAAAAATTTGTACTATATTTTACTTTTTTATTTAATAGTAATAATAGCCCTAAATATGGTAACAAACATTTACATAATTCCCATAATTTAAGCTAAACATTCAAAATCAAATATTTTCTAAAAATAGAATTCTATTTGTTGACATCCAATTTTGACCGACCTTTCAACTTTATTAGAAATCCTATTCGATTAAATACGTATTTTAAATTTTAGAATTTTTAGTCGACTTTGCTTGAAAATTATATATTTTAGTATGTTTTATTTTATAAAATTATCGTAAATATTATAATATTTTAAAATTATTAATGAATTTCAAATGTTTTAAAATTAAAATGTTTTGGCTCTTATTTATTAAAGTAAAAGAATATTGTCTTCCTTACTTTACTCTTACTCATTTATTTTTTTAGTAATGAAATATTAAATTAAAAAAATCTGATTTGTCTCTCCTTATTTAAGATAAATAATAATAATATTTCTCTTCCTAATTTATTCTTGCTTATATTTGGAAGTGATATATTTTTATTTTGGCTGATTTGAATCTCCTTTTTAATAAGGAAAATGATATATTTAATTAACTCCTTTAAATATCTTTCTTCCTTATTTGTTTCCTCCTCTTTGCTATATAAATAAGACCCCTCCCTTCATCAACTCAGAGACACTCATTCACTCTCAATCAAAAAAAAATTCTCTCATCACTCTCTCTTCTCTCACTGCTCTCTTGCTACTTTAACAACACATTAATATTCCGATAAATATTCAAGTGTTCTTCGCTATTTTGCTACTTTCGAGTAAAAGGTGAATTAATTTGTTTTGCTTAACCGTTATTTGATTACTTTGACAGGTTTCAAACTTGAAGTTCAAGTTGAAGATTAATTGAAGAAAGATTTATTTGTTTATTTGAATGTGTGTGTGTATATATATATATATATATATATATTTTTTTTTATTTTTTGCCTATTTTATTTATTCGAATGTTGTAACAATTGTAATTCTAAAAGATCATATATATATATAATTATTTGGGGGATCGTCTAGGGGAGGGGGATTTATATGCTTACTTGTTCATTATAAATTTTTTAGAAATCATGCCTAGGTTTGTCTTTAACCACCTAGATTTGATATTTGTAGGTGTTATAATCTAATCAATTTTCAATTTGCTTGACGTTTTTGTTAACAAGTCTTAAAAAATAAGAACTAGAGTCCATTAATTTTTTAAATGTTAAAATCAAATCCTAATAAATCTAGTAGGTTGTTAGATGTTAAAAATATATTATAAATTCTCATTTGTCTTATCACGTAGAAACTATGCCTAAGTATTAAATTGTTCATATCATTTACAAAATCATGCATATATGTGTTACTCCTTCTTTTAAACGCCTAGAAATTCATGTCTATAGGCTTGAAATAACTTTTAACATATCCGTAAAAATAAAATTTATTTGTGCATATTTGTGTCCTTCCCCATAAAATGGTCAATATTAATTTTATTTGTCTTCCTCATTCATGATGCAATATGTTTTTTTTTAATAATACTAATTTAGAATCATTTCATGCATTTAACTTGGCTTTAAAAATATTTCATATCAAAACCTTGTAACATAATTTTCTTGAAAAGTCATTATTTAAACTTTGGATTGATTTTGACATTGTTTATTTTGAAAGTAAATTATAAGTACTATCTCCTAACCTATCGTTAGTGGGAAAGTCAAAGGAACTATGAGGTCTAGTTCCAATTTTTTAAACCTGACGCATCCTCGGAAGTACCACCTACCCATGAATTTCAAAAAGAATTATGTGCATTTATGTGTAAATGTTTACGTGCCTATGTGTGAACTAAATCTTTTAAATCATTTTTCAAAAACATAAACTATTTTTAGACCGACCTCAAATCAAAATTGTTTCTATGGTGGAGGAGCGCGATCAACAATATCGTGGCATCATCCCTACAAAGAAACAAACATTTTTAAATAAAAATTCCTACTCAAAGCTTATCAATTTTCAAACTTTATTTTTGCACATATTAATTGCTTAATATTTGCCAATTTTGTATGTTAAATAAATAAATAAAAAATAATAAACTTGGTTGTTTATTATTGCTGTCTTCTAGCCTCGCATATTTAAATTAATAAAATAGCCTTAATTGTTTTATACTTGTTATCACTTAGCAAGCATATTAATGAATAATAATGAAGTGACCTTGATTGCTACTTGTAACCCCCACATAGATTGCATGAGATACGGCCGGGACCCACACTTGTGGACCTCGAGGGATGCCTAACACCTTCCCCTCGAGGTAATTTGAACCCTTACCCTAATTCTTTGGCTCGTTGACCTTAGTTAGACTTAGTTAGGTTAGATAGGTGCCCTAACGCGCCTTAATTCGTTAGGTGGCGATTCCAAACTCAAAAATCCCAAAAGAGTTGTTAGGTCGTGCACAAAACCCGTTTTCTGCGAAAATGGGGCGCGACACTATTACAACTGAAAATTCATACAAACTTGTTTATGAGAAACTTAACTTTTTAATGTATATAAAGTTTATATACGATTGTAAATAAATTAAATACAAATTGTTCAATTTGCACCAAATTGTAAAGTAATTGTATATACATATACAATTAAAATATAAAATACAGTACTTGTATATATACGAATTCCTCAAGTAATTTTATATAATTATACCAAATTTTTTAAATTACTACTTATTTATATATATAACTATTTGAATATAAAAAAATTATATATGTATAAACAAACTTTATATACTTTAATGGCATTTTAACTATTTACGTTAACTAATTATTGCTGGATATTGTTTTAGCTTAGTAATATATATCTTTGGGGCATATATCAACTTTTTTATGCCAATAATAATACCCCAAAATCATAGTTATTAATTTTAGAGGACACGTGTAAAAATATAAATTAAAACATATTTTTTCTCTCCCTATACTTGTCAAATATTTTTTAATTTAATTCTTTCTTAATTATTATTTTTTAACAAATAACTTTAAATTAATAATTTTTAAAAAATAAAGCAAGTAAAAATGTTTGAAATTTTAATATTAATAAAAATAAAATGATAAACTTAATACCATACCAATCATTATCCGGCAACTAAAAAATTGATAAAGTAAAAAGTGATGAAAAAGGAGTAACAAAACAAAACAGTAGTAGAGCATAATCATTGGATAGTAAATGCAAAGAAGAATCATACTCAAAATTTTATTTGTCCTCACAATTAATAAAAATAATACTCTATCCGTTTAAAAAGAATGTCCCTATTTTTTTTTTATTTTTTTTCTGTTTTATAATATTTTAAATTTAATTTTTCACATAACATATTTAAGATCACAAAATTAATGAATATTTTGATATATGTGATATAACTTTAATTTAGAATCACAAAATTAAAAATATATTTTCTTTTCTTAAATTTCGTTCCAAATCAAACTAGAATATTCTTTTTGAAATGTTAGAGTATATAGTAGTAGAGTACCTTTTAACTTTTCTCTTTTGATCTTCTTTTTATCATCCACACTAGCTTAAGCTTGTTATCTTTTCTTTAGTCTCCATATAAAGGCCTACTTTTATGTTATCTACTTGTCCTCGTACTACAAAAACAACTTTCATTGTAAGGTAGAATGTTTTTGGAGTCCTTTTTCTTTTTCAATAGTTACTCATCTTTTTTTTAAAAAAAAAAAAGACATAAGATTTTAATTCTGCTGACAATGTAAAAAATTTGTTAGTATTAATTTAACCAAAATGGTTGTTATATACGTTTTACATAATTATTCATAATAATAAGTACCAAAAATTAAAATCCTAAGGTAAAACTTACTTTTATTTTTATGCGATAGAAAAATTATTATTTTAGATTGTCACAATTACTTAAAGAAAAATTAGTTAAATCATCAATAGAATAAAGGAAAACTTGATGAACCTTCCAAACAACACCACTTCACCGAAATAGGTTAAAAAGAAGAAAATTATGACAATAAAGTAACAGGATAAATACCACCAATAAAACAACTTGTAATAAATAATAAACCACAAATATTACCAAATATATATACTAATAATGTATAATGAACAATAGTTGTGTATATAAATAGAATTCCAAAATGACAAAATTGATAAAATTATAACTTTAACTAGTAGATTACATAGTTGAATACATAAATTGTATTCAATATGTTAGCGAGAATTGCTTCTTGACATTACACATAAATTGTAATTATAAATAAAAAATATAATTTTATTAATAAACTAATATAAGTTTTGTCCTTCTTAGTTATTTTTTCTTATTAGTTTCTATGATCTAAGAGTCATTAAATTTTTTTTTCTTTAAATTATTTAATTATTGAGAAAGAGATTGAATATCTAAAATAACACAAAATATATCATTTTTTATATAGCGATAAACTAAATTTCGAATAGAATATGAATTTGAATTCCTAAGATAGAGAGTGGGTAGGTTAAGTGAGAAAGCCATAATTTACACGTGATATTCCCAATACCATAAATAAGAGGGCCCTAGCTTAAATCCCATCGTCCAAAAACTCTTAAACTTTCTGGTTTCTACTCAGACGCTGAGCTTTCCATTCTCGGTGAATCTAATCCTCACAGGGATCCCTTCTTCGGGGACCCATTTTGCATCAAACGATTTCAACATTGACCTCCATTGTCGTTACTTGTTGGTTTTTCTTTTCACAATCGAATACCCCTAATTCTCTGTACTAGTCTCTATTCAATTGGGTTTTCTATACT